GAATTGAGAGTCTGTAACTGCCAAGCCATGATGTTGCAGTCAGTCGGAATCTTATCTTATCTTATCTTATCTTAGCACCAACTATACATAAGATCGCCGTTTGGACAGGGTCAGGCGGGATGACGAAAACCAGCAGTGTTTCCAGTGTTTCATGCGGTTTTGTTCTACGCATCAGATAACATATTAAACCGGTTTCCCGTGATGGATTAAAGTAAGGGCTGCTGCTGCTAGGACATAACACCGGGAGAACTCATAGGTCACCCAGGCATGAAGCCGCTGATGCTCTTCTCTTGCCACAGGAGCATTGGGGCGATGACATCGGCATCTGGTGGGGAATTCAGGGTCATTTCAAGCCCTTGAGGGGTGTCTAAGCCTCACGGACCACGGAGAACCCCTAGCTACGGTGTTTCCATGTGATGGAAACTTGGAACATCTTCAAGAGCCGCTGGTTCCTGTTCCAAGGGTGTGGCGTGCCTACATAGATCGCCTCCTCCCATGCACCGTCGTCTGTAGAGTACAATAATACTCTACACTATGATGCATATAGAGTACCTACATACATGTATGTACCTGCTCCCTTTCAACGGAACAGAGCATAAACAATCAGTATAAGATAAGGCAACAAGGACCGCCGCAGACATCACCGGACTAATCTCATTTCCCCTCCCCCAATCTTAGATATAGCATCAACTTCAACAGACCTTTAATATCCACCACGCTCGGAGCACTTTCGACTCCTCGCATTGTTCATCTCCCTCATCTCCCCCCCTCTTCACGCACCCTGGCCGCGTCACCTCGTAGCCAGGTACCCCACGTCAACGTCACCCAGACGCGCGTTTGAGCGCTCTCAATCATTCTTATTCTTATTCTCGTTCTCCTCTCTCTCTTCTATTACACGATACCTCTTCGCGATACCTCAACCCCCCCCCCACGAAACGCAAGTGATTCCCCTCTGTAATGTCACATAACCAGCATCAAAACGGCGTCAGGCCTCCATACCCCGGAGACTCAAACCCCCATCTTGCTGGCGTCCAAGAGCCTCACCCTCCCTCGTTATCGCAATCACAAGATCTCGGAGAAGCGCAAGCGAGGAATATGACCCGTGGTCCCAGCACAGAAAGTAATTCCATGGCAAGGGCAGGTTTGCCGGACAGCTTAAGAGTTGGGTCACCAGCTGCTCCTCAAATAAGCCATGCGCCTGAGCCCGAGAGCGTTGCGAAAGGTAGCGTAATGCTACCAGATAGTTTAAGAGTTGGTGCTGGAAGTAATGAGGGTTCGCAGCGGGGTGGTGAGACACCGAGGGGAAGCTTCGAAAAGGCAAACATGCCTGAGGCTCTTCAGCCTGGAGGTGGGAAGATGAAGATGCCAGCTGCAAACGCCAAGGTTTACACACACGGTGTGCCTGAAGGCGAGAATCAGCAACCGGAGATCACTACGCATGTTGCTCCTGCACAGAAGGGTGTGGAGACGACGATGCATGGCATATTGGTCACAGGGAATGAAGATTCAGAAGATATATGGGGAAACGAAAAGACGCCAATACCGCGGCGGCAAAGCGAAGATAGTGAGTTGATTCCCTTGGGCAATTGGACACTCATGTCTCGAGCTCAACATCTCTATATAACCTTTACTAACTACAAGGGCAGTTTCTTCTCCTATGGCTGCCGATTTCAACTCTAATGATAGACCGTTCAATGAATATTCACCGTTCTACAATCCGACTAATAACTTTAGTACTGGTTCCTCAAAAGCGCCCATCCACTCAAACCAGACAGGGGGAAATGTTGCTTCCGAGCCACAACGGTTTCCGCCGGTTGCCGCTGTGCGACCTGCTGGGGATAGAGACAGACAGTTCTCGACTGCGTCTTCGACTTCTTCGGTGGGTTTCGATCCAGGGATGGATTTATCCTCCTTCGACGCATCTACCACAAGAGCATATCCGGGAAGGAGAGGATACCCAGCAGTCGGTATGGATGGTTGGAATGAGGACGATGAAGAAGGCGATGTTGCAAAAACTTGGGAGGAAGAGCTCGACAGACGTGCTAAAGCTGGTGCAGAGCTTCAACGTCGCAACGAAGAAGCTCAGGAAAGGGGGAAAGAGGAGCGACTGCAAGCGGAGTTCTGGGAAGAAGAGCGCCGCCTTGCAGGAATCGCAGAAGGCCCCCAGAAGCCTCCTAAGGCGCCGTCATCTACAGGTGGCGACAGCACTGCAAGAGCTGACCCCCAAATACCTCAACTAGATCAATCTAGGCCGGTACCGCCTATACCAGTAGAAGCGATGGCAGATTTAAATATACGGTCACCACCCCCGCCGCCCCCTTCCGCAAATACAACCACTGAAATATACCAAATTAAACACATTGCCTGGACCGACCCATCTGTTCCCAATGCCAAACTTCGCCGCTCCCCAATTCTTCTGCAAAATGCGAATGGCCCATGCCCCTTGCTAGCTCTCGTAAATGCCTTGATACTTTCCACTCCTGTGGGCACCAAAACAGCTCTCTGGGAAACTCTTGAGTTTCGAGAACAAGTCTCACTTGAACTCCTCCTTGACGCTGTATTCCAAGAACTTATGGACCGCGGCGGCGCAGCGGGCCTCCCAGATGTTGGCGATCTTTTCGCATTCCTCTTAACGCTCCACACAGGCATGAATGTCAATCCACGTTTCTACTCTGAGGATAATCCTACCAATACGCACACAATGCATTTCGAAAAGACACGAGAAATGGAGCTATATGGGGCTTTCAGGGTCCCGCTTGTTCATGGCTGGCTCCCAACCCCGTCTGATCCTGTACTTGCGGCGATGAAGCGACGGGCTGTGTGTAACTACGAAGAAGCTCAAACCCTCCTCTTCCACGAAGCGGAGATTATCTCCCGTGTCACTTCTGAAGACGGTACTCTTGCAGATGGGGAGGACCAGATCATTGAAGATGCAGGAATCATCCGAGATTGGATGGAACGCAGCAGAACGCAGCTGACAGCACACGGACTCGAGATCGTCAAGAGCGGACTCAAGACAGGTGATGTCGCAATTTTATTCCGGAACGACCACTTTATGACTGTAATTGGTGGACGGGACTCTCATGCGCTCATGGGCCTGGTGACAGATATGGGCTTCGCAGGACATGAGGAGGTAGTATGGGAGCGTATGGTAGACGTGCAAGGCCGTAATAACGAGTTCCTCTCTGGCGACTTCCGCCCCGTCGGCGCCGGCGATGCGGCGCCGCCACCACCGCCACGACAGGAAGTCCGCTCTCTCCTCGACCCCGACGAGGGCTGGGAAACCATCCCCGGCGTCACCGACACTCATACCCCCGCCCCTGGGGATATTGTAGACCACGATGCAGATCTTGCCCTCGCTATGCAACTCCAGGAGGAGGAGGATGAACGTTACCGTAGCCGGCAAGACGCGGAACAGCGACAACGGCGTCACGGGCCCTCTCAGTCCATGGGAGGGCAACCTCGCGGTCTCCCCCCTCCACCACCTCCACGGAACGCTGTAGCCCCGGGGCAGTTCACGCACCGCCCTGCAGATGGGGCAGAGACTATTCCCCCGCCGCCATATGAACGCCATCCAAACCAGCCGCAGCCGCAGCCGCAGCCGCAGTCACAGCCGCAGCCCCAGCTCAGTGCGTACCAGCAACAGCAGCAAATTCAGCAGCAGCAAGAATGGGCTGCAGGTCTAGGCCGAGGCCGAAGGGCGAGTTTTGGCGCAACAACCGCTCCAGCAGGAATTCAAGCTAGCGGTGGTATGAGCCCAGCGCAGAGGAGAGCGGAGGCCGCCAGAAATCTCATGTCGGAGATTGCGAGCAATGCGGGATCCCCAAGTAGTTCGGCGCAGCAACACCCCGGGAGACGGTCAAGTTTAGGAGCACCCGGAACAGATGGCGAGCAGAAAGAGAAATGTGTTATTTGTTAGCTGGTCATAATCATGATGGGATGTTTACAGGTGTAAAGGACTTTTTTCCGATTTTTTTGTCATTTTTTTCTTTCTTTCTGTCATGGCGATATCTGGCGGGGTTGCTTCAGGCATTTTACTTATTTACCCTTGTTTCTTTCTTTCTTTCGTTCTTTCCTTCGTTCTTCTTCTCTCTATTATTCCTTGGATATGGGCTTTTGGGGGAGGGTGTACCATGTAGGATAATGTTAGTTAGCTTCCATCACGTATTCAGTTAGGATAGCGGGACGGACTTCAGCTTTGTTAGAGTCTTGGCCATATCATTACAAGTATCCCTTCGTCTGTATTGATGATAGAAGACCTTACCTACATGTATTCAAGTCTTTTTACTCCTAGTGAACCTAACCCGCACTCCGTGAACCATTTTCTCAGGTAAGCCACAGCCTATGACCCGGCCCTTCCCTTTTATGGCAGCACCAACTCCTCTTCTTGGCTAGATTCTTGCTGATCACTATTGCGAATCTCGGGCACAGACGAAAGGATACACAAGCAATAGCAGCCTCCTAGAAATGTTCAAACGGAACTGTAAATAGTAGAGCATGAGCATAATACATCTCAAAGATCCAACGATACTTACGCCCCGGTGACTGGGACTAGGGTCGCAATGGGGGGTGAGTAAGAGGGGTCCAAGTATTAGAGCGTATTTACCAACCGTCAATCTCAAGAATTTACAAGTTGTGGGACTCCGAAATGGCAACCGGGGCTGTTAATTTTTTTGAATTTCGGTGGGGCAGCGTGCTGTGAGACATACCAGGAGGATCACAAGTACAAGTAGTATCATGGGTAAGAATTCTCAGTTCCAACAGCGTATTTCACAGGTAGCGTGATGAACTGTCTGATTTTCGGGGTTTATTCTGTCATACCGCTAACCAGATCTATTTTGGCCACTGAGGGGAACTGTCAATTTTGAAGTGTCAATAGTTGAAATTGACGGTTGACAAATACGCTCTATTAATCCCAGCTTACTAGTGCGGTTTCACCACCCCAGCACAAACAAAAGCGTTTAGAACAAAAAAACAAAACAAGCCCAGTGTAACATCAGGCGCTAATAGCTCAGTTGGGAGAGCGTCAGACTGAAGAGTATACCAATCTTAAGTCTATCTGAAGGTCACCCGTTCGATCCGGGTTTGGCGCATTGAATTCATTTTTTTTTCCCCCTCACGGTCGGTATGGCGGGGTCAAGACTGAGGTAGAAGTCAGTAACAGCCGAGAGGGGATTTCCCCCCCCTGTTTTTTTTTTTTTTTTTTTTTGCCGAGGGATTGGGTCCCGGATTTTGTGTCAGAAAGCCTCCGGCTAAGACTACACTGAGCACAAAGTACGTAGTACTCTACTCGTATTTTCCTGACGTTTGTAAAAGGAACCGCTATTGCATACCATGCTAAATTGTGGACTTGGCGCGTATTTATATGGTATGCAATAGTGGTTTCTTTTACAAACGTCAGGAGTACTCAAGAGTACCTTGGTGTTACAGCTCTTAATTAGTGACTGCGTAGGTCATATAATCAAGACGCACGCATATTACTCGCGTTTCCGGACTGGACCGCTATTGCATGCCATACAAAAGAAAGCCTTGGCGGTTTTTTTTTTGCTGTGTATGCAATATCAGTTGCGTCCTTTTTCGTCAAGATTATTACCCTAGAGGTGCTGCTATTTGAACTGGACCATACAAATGTGTCCAGTTGCAATTGACATTGGTGGACGGACTGAAGCCGGTATTTTGTGCGGACTCCCAGGAGTAATAGATTGGAAGCTCGTTTTCCCCCATCTTCCTCTTCGCATTCCACTTCGCATTCATAGGCATTTGAAAGCTCGCCGATTAAGGGCACTTCACGTGTGACTGTAGTCAACATATGCCCAAATGCCTAACGCCAAACATGATTTTGGAAGTGAATTTTGTACTGGTATTGGTGTAGTCCACGAGAGCATACGTGTAGCTAGGAAAGACATTCTCCAACAAGATGTATGTACTAACAATAGCACACACGACGACGGAAATTCCAAGCAGCTGGAGCAGTTGGAGTACAGTAAAGGTAGTTATTGACGGATTGTTACGGACACGGTTGACACCGTATCAACGGTAGGGGTTTTTTTTGGCCAATGAAAGAAGATAAACTGGGCTTGGCTATCTTCTGGACTCATGGTTGTTGTTCGCCAACACGACCCAGTCCGTCAATGACATCAACATTCAAGGCAAGCATAATTGTCTTTTAGACCCCTCTCCTACGCCTTGAATTGTCTCAAGGAAGATACTTTGTATTGATTTAGTAGGCCTAGGGGAAAGAAATCTTTCGATCGCAACTGATGCCTTATGTGCCTGGATAACTACTCTAGGCCGTACCTGGCCTGACGGACTGGTCCGTCCAATAACAAATTCAGCTGGGGTCCCGAGATAGACGACTTTTACCGAGAAGTGCACTTAGGACCACTGAGCTGACTATGTACTCTGTCAATGCCTTGCAGATTGAGTGTCCTACGTACGTACCGGAACCTCCCAACTTGGAGGTTCAGCCTCATTTTGGAATACGAGCATGAGCATGTCCCTACAGCCGGCCACGGAGCCCATGAACGATACTCGTCTGGACCTTGATAAATATACGGAACAATCAGGATCCAGGAGCCATACAAAGTTGAAAGCTGCACAGATATCTCAGTCAAAGTAAAACCACTGACTGCTGATTCTACTGTGGGCTTAACGATTCCAGGCGTAGAGTACACGTCGATGATTGTCTCATGGATCGAACATAGCAGCAGTTAAACAGGGAAGAGAAAGAATTCGTTTCACAAGCCTACATAAGTTTTAGCGAGGTATCGATCCACTCTCGCTAAAATTTCAGGAACAGCACTCGTCTATACACATTGGGACCGGACCGCTTCAGCCCTAAAACCCGATCCAATTCGCCGTAGTAGTACAATAGCTTACAACCAAGACATTTTTTCCCTACTGACCACCTGCTACTACATGGTACATTACTTAAACGCAAAAGTATCCGATACACTCCTAGTGTATTCCTCTACAACTTTTTTCTTTTCCTTTTCCTTTTTTTTTTTTTTTTGGCGAGCGATTGCGCTGCGGACAGAAAAAGGCTGGGTTGTCCCGAGCTGGTATGTAATAGAATAACCTGATGATGTGATGCGATTCTTTGATCCGAGGCAGGTATGTAGCCTTGAAGACTGAGCAGGGTACAAATGTAGGTACATACAAGTCTCGGTACGTTTGGTAGTACGCTATGCGCCGTACAGGTCGTGGCGTTCTGAAAATTCTTTTTTAGGATGATGGAGGGGAAGTCTTGGCTGCGAGTGAGGATTTATGATGCAAAGTGCAGTTAGAAAGTGCAAAAAGATGGACTGAAGGGGTATATATACAGTTGTTGATTTTAGGGCAGCAAATCTTGAGGGTTGCCCTTCTGCAGCTCAGCTTTTGCGGCATGGGCTGGCCCAAAAAAGAAAGATACATCCCAAAGCCACGATCCTGAAGCTCCCAGTTCCTTGCATGAGCGTTCTGTTGGTTTATTGGACAATATTCGCGAGGCATTCCATGAGCATGGTTTGGCTTATCGAAGAGTGGAGTTCGCTGGGATAAAAACAACCCATGGCACGAATCTTGGGAATCCCACGTATCACCCCTGTAAACCTACATGTAGGTACAGACCGTACTCGTACAGTCACTACCAAACATGGTAAGTGTAGCTAGGTTGTGCATGCATGGATGTAAGTTCTGACCATCCATTCTCAACGGACAGCGCAGCTTATCCTCAGATAGAACCTCAAGTAAGCCAGCAATGTTATGGTGCACAGAGTCGACTGACCCAGGGAATCTAACACTATCACCGGGGAAAGCTCCGGTCAGCACCTACCACCTAGCACATGGCTGGCACGATCCGCCACGGGTACCTGAAAATCATCGCATCATCCCCATTAATTGCCGGGGAAACATCCAAGAATGCTAAGAAGCTCTTAGTGATTATGTATGGGTGGAAAGATAATGGTCTTAACTTCAACTCATCTCAATCACCGTAGAAGAGTAGGAGGAATGTACAACAATATGATCGATGCTGCACCGTGGGAAACCACGTTGTCAGACCAGCGGGCCGTTCTGCATATATAGATGTAGTTAACATTGGTGGAAAATTCCAGGATCCCGTGCAAGCAGGGCAACGTGCAAAACCTTGATGTTCTTTTTAAGAAAACAGCGAGTAAAGTACCGAACGCAAGCCAAATATGCATCCAAATAAAAAAAAAAGTCAACTTAGATTAAGTCACTAGCTCAATTGGTTAGATTACATACATACATGTACACCCTTTGAGATTTTGGGCCTCTACGTACGTCTCTTCCAAAAAAGAAAAGCAAATATCAAGGACCTCTCTACATGTAGTTTTGTAATATCTTTTCAGCCTGTAAGTGCACTTTTAAAACTTGTCCTGCAGCCGTGTTGCCGTTTGCAGTTCTTCTGATGGATGTTTTTGTAGGAATATCATGTCCGAGGCGGCAAATATGGCTTCCGGGTTAATCTTATTGTGCTACAATGATCTAGGGAAATACCAGGAAAGTTCCATATATAAATGTACTGAACCACCCGCTAGAAAGCGATATTCAACAGCTCAGAGCAGGCTTCCTACAGAGTATTTGACAAAACATTACATTTCCCACCCATACTATCTTTCTTGCGCATTACTCGTGCAATCTATTTCTACTATAAATTTCATCCCAGCGGCAACAGCTCCACCAATAGCTGATCGATCCGCTCCACCATATATTCAGCAAACCAAACACACTTGACCGGAAATCGTATTCACTCTTTCAATATGATTTTCAACACTCTCATTACCACTCTCCTTTTCGCCCTCCTCACCCTCGCTCACGCTCGCTCGGTGCCTCCAAATGTCCAAGAGTTTTACAACAAAGTCAAAGGCGGCCTATGCCCCGTTACTGTCGCCAAAGGTTTCTCCCAAGGATCGTCCTCTAGTGAATCCAATTATTGCTTCGAGAAAGACCAAAGCGTGATGTGGATTGCCAGCTCCGGTGGCCTCGCCGATATGGATATTGATTGCGACGGCGCCAATCATGGTTATGGAAAGTGTTCCAATGATCCAACTGGCCAGGGCATGACAAGCTTTGTAGATCATGTCAAAAAGCTTGGTCTTTCCGACTTGGACTCCAACACTCACAGCTTTATCGTCCTCGGAAACAGCGGCTTCGACCCTCAGTCAGTAGGAATCGAGCCATTGAGCTTGGTTGCAGTTGTTTGCGGAGCTAAAATGGTATTTCATGTTTTCCTCGATCTATGACTGCTACATATGCTAATTAAATCATAGTTCTACGGTATTTGGGGTGATAGTAATGCTACCGATAAAGTAGGCGAGGCTAGCATTGCGTTAGCAACTGCCTGCTATGGAGATGGCATGACAGGAAACAGCGGACACAACCAGCATGATGTTCTGTATCTTGCCTTCCCTGGGAAGGATGCCGCCGTCAAGGATTCTGCCAACTGGTAAATAACTCCATCCAATCTTTTCATTGATCACTATTCGGACTTTCTAACATAATATAGGCACGCCGGTTCTTTCTCAGAATTTGAAGATTCTCTGTCGTCAGTTGGCGACAAAATGGTTGCTGGCGTGCATGCTTATTAAAATTTATTTCCTTTGTAAATGTAGATTATAGAATTAGAGGTAGTAGCGACACATGATGATGAATTAATGATAACGATTTAAACCACAATGCTTGTATATCTCCTGCCCATGGTTTGTGATGACAACGGTGCTAAATAGAGTTACGGGAGATAAGATGATGCTGCACGAAGGCGTATTTCCGTGGTGAATGGTTGCATTGATCAGCTGATCAGTACAGTCGCTAACCTACATAGTGACGGCGGATCCTGTCTGATGGTTGTGTTTGCAGTAGTTTACACTTGGCGTCTCTGCTATTGGCCTCAAATATCTCTGACCGCCATCAGACAGGATCCGCACTCACCCTGTGAGTGACTGTACACTTATGAAACTGCGGTGTTTAACTACATGTATTGGTAGGATGTCAACGAAGCACTATGTCTGGACATGAATCTGTGCTCGTGAGTAAAATCGCTGTTGGTGTTATACTACCACCTGCGTTCCTTAATAAGTGTAGAGCTATGGGA